TGTGTGTGTGTGTGTGTGTCTGTTGTGTGTGTGTGGGTGGGTGTGTGTGTGTGTGTGTTTGCGTGTGCGTGTGCGTGTGTGTGTGTGTGCGTGTGTGTGCGAGTGTGTGAGTTTGCAAGTGTGTTTGTGTGTGTGTGTTCGTGGGGGGGAGGCGACCCCCCCACACCAAACCAATTAATCAATCAATTAGTCAATCAATCAATCAATCAATCAATCCTTCAATCAATCAATCAATCAATCAATCAATCAATCACTGACAATCAAGCAATCATTTACAATCAATCAAGCAATCAATTAACCAATCAATCAATCAATCAATCAATCATCCAATCAATCAATCAATCAATCAATCAATCAATTAATCAGTCAATTAATGAATCAATCAATCAATCAATCAATCAATCAATTAATCAATCGATCAATCAATCAATCAATCAATCAATAGTCAACTAATTAATTAATCAATTAATCTATCTTAATTTTATTTTTTTTTGACTGCGGACTAAAAATAATAATAATAATAATAATTTTTTATTTTGAATGGGAAGGTACCCTCCGACACCCGATCCCCCCCCAGCCTATCCACCCCCTCGACAACCCCGTCTGGTCGTACAGGAGTATGCACGGGATGTCCCCTTACCTGGTGACAGGAGTATGCACGGGTTGTCCCCTTACCAGGTGACGACGCTGCTTGTATGAAGAAAAAAGTGAAAATTAAAAAAATAGAAAAGAGGAAGGACTGCTTTCTGTTCTGCTTCGTCGCCCGAGACATAGGGTGTGGAGGAGCCATGAGGGGTGGAGAGATCCTGGTGGTAAAAAACAGATCAAACAGGGACAAGAAAGAAGGACGGGAGGAAGAGGCCTACTTAGACATGGAGTCCGATAGGCAGACTCAGAGAAGACGTGCGGTCTAAAAAGTCGGGGGGGAGAAATACATTGAATATGTACTCTATTTTTACGATCGCGACGACAAATTACACAGCACATGATCATTTCTAGAAACGGTGGAGAAGGCCAGGGCGAAGCTCGAGTAAGCGTAAAAGATTCGGAAATTTTTCCTTTGTGGTTTCCACCGGCTCCTCAGCTAATGAAAATATCTCAACAATCTGCGGCCTTTACAAGTGATCAGTATTAGGTGACTGTACATCTCTGGACTTAATCAGGACTCAATCAGAGTTTCCAATCAACACTCAGTTAGTTTTCAGTTAGCATTCTAACAGCATTCAATTGCAATCAGTGCATGGTAATGTGTCATGTTTGCAACAGTCAGATCTCAGTCTGAACGGGACAGAAACTTGGTTATTGCCTTCTAGCACTGGGATCAGCTTTCATTAGATTGGGTTTCTATAAAAAAACTCGTATCCTTGTCAGCCTCAACAGGATTGCCCTCAAAGATGCTTTCCCGTACCGGTATGTCAGTGCAGTCAGTTTCAAACAAGGAGACCTATCCATCCATGTGGTTCATGCCGAGTTTGCAGGCGGTATTGTTCATGACTTTAGGGTATACTTGAGGAGGGGTAAAGAGGCACATGAGCTTTTTGACTCAGTCAGGGTCTCRGCARCCAGGTATCTTGAGGAGAGAGAGAGAGAGTTTGACGAGAATGGTACCAGGCTGRTCCGCAGTCTTGGACCYAAGCTCTACACCGACTATCMTAAACCGCTAGTGCCTTTCACTCTTACWGACGACTCGGATTGGAGTGACTAGGTGGWYMTGGCGAAGAGATACATCTSATYWGTGCAGATTGACTATGARGCAGTGACAGAGCCCTCAGGGTTCCAACAWCTCAGAAGAGGGATTTTTTCCAGGCCCTATCTTACTACGCTATGAGAGGAGTTTTGTGCCATGGTTGATTTCCGTGTCATGGAACTTGGGTGAAAGTGCTCAGAGCTTGCAGGCTTCAGGTGGATCTACATTTAGAGGCCACAATCTCAGAGGGTACACAAGCATGGCTCAAAGCACAAGAGACGCACTGCCAAATGAGAAATTGAGTATGTGACCTAGAGGGATAAGTGAGGACTTTTGCCTAGTGTTGATCGTGCCTGTTCATCTGTACTCCTTGAGATTATTACGAGTTTTCATTCTTCCTTCATTTATTTTTGTTATTTGCCATAGTCAGTCAGTCTTGCTTCTCTTTATTGCCCTTGCATGATGGTTGCTTCCTATGATGATCCAATCACAGTTCTCAAATTTAGTAAATTGGTTGAATGATGCATGCATGACATTCCAATTTTCCGATAATTATTATTTGCATAATTCTCTGCTGTTCTGAATCAAACTAAAAGATTCCAAGGACCGGGGGCTGGCGAAGATCGCAATCGAAGGGTCTCGCTCGAAGCCGGACGCACACAACAGGAAAGGATTTACTATATTTCATTTTTATTTATTGCAAACATCATACAAAATCCTGCGTGACAGCCTGTTGGCTTTCTGGGCACCTGAGGACGCCCGACTAGAAAAAGTGCGACAACGTGAGGGTATGTATAGCAAGACCATGGCAACCACGCATGGGAATAAAGAGCATAATTGGTGGAAAGCTCCCATAGGGAAACGTTTTGGTTTATGGCAGCCCCCCCAAAAAAGGCCGAGTGCTATGCACCCTGGAAAATTTATTGGGGGGTATTTTCATCCCATGTCGGGCTCTACTTGAGTTGGATTTCGTGGGCCCTACCGGCCTACCGGCCTGACGTGGGATGAAAATACCCCCCGATGGTTATCCCTGGGAGCATAGTACTGGCCTGGGTTTTTTAGGGTGCCCAAAACCAAAAAGGTTTCTGCATGGGCAATTTCCACCAATTATCCCAGTTTGTTTACTTTTCACTTTTTTGCTTAAAGGTGGGGTGGGGGGATTATGTCACAACCCTCCRTCAAGTTCGCAGGGCCGCATTYAGGGACYCGTGAATGCGTGAACGTGGGTCGTGACCCCTCATCATGAGGGAGGTGTACGCACTGGCCTGGGCCGTATCCACCAATTATCCGTTTTGGAAAACTTYCAAACCCCTATTCAAGCTATTCGCCCATCAACGAACGACAAGGGGGAACCAAGGAGGGAGGAAGACGAGAAAAGCAGCAGCAGCTCAAAAATGAATAGAGAGAAAGAAGGGTGGGAGGAACTGTGAAAGAAAGAATGGAAGGGAGAAAGGCGGAGCTCAGTAAACAAGAAAGGAAGGAGAGACAGAGGGAGGCAGTCTGAGGCACCAACGGAGGGCAGAAGGGAGGGAATAATTGGTAGACACGGTCACATGGCCCTCTCGAAAACCATGTGCTTTGATGGAGACAGACTTCGCCCGCTTCTCAAAAAGGGCCTATCAAATATAAATCTGGTTCCAATACAGCGCGAGGTTGAATTTTAGTGTTCTTTGTAGATTACACAGTTGCCTTTATTAGCCGAAGCCAGGTAATGGCCCCGGTATCTTAAGGATTTCTCCATAAATTTCTCAATTTCTCAATATGATCTTGAATGGGACGCTGGGCCCGGTTCCCAGTA